TCAAAAATCTTACCGCAAGGCAGCGGAGTTTTGGCGAGGGACTACAGAGTGCCTGTTTTATAGACTAAGGAGCCACCCTCGCTCCAACTCCCAACCTGGAGGAGCAGGAGACTGATTTTGTCTAGCCTCTAACCATTGACAATCTGTAGGTGCAAAGCATCACCCATCATGCCTCAATGGATCAGTGAGGCACACAAACCATCAACACCACGTTAAGGTCCAGTCTCATGGCGGTGGATGTGTTATGGTATGTAATGGAGCAATGAATAAAAATAATAAAAATAATAAATCGCCAGCTGTACGCCGTAACGGCGCTTCGCTACCACGCGACCACCACCAGTCGCGCGTGGGCACGCGCGAAGACGCGTGCTCCTACGCGGATTCGAACTGGTGACCTTGTGGTTGGCAAACCAGACGGGCATACCACTCGGTCACCGGCCGGAGCGATGAAGTCTACAACAAGCATCGGTAACAATAGCACTAATAGAATCCGAAAAACGCCAAACATAAAGGTACTTTAGAATAGTTAGGAAAGTATGTTAAAGGGAAAAAATAGGAGAAGTAACGTCTGACTCAGAATCGAGCGTATCACTCAGCGTGAGCCATTGAAGGTAAACGGGCTCGACAAAATTTAATATTTTTTTAATGAAATAACTAACTCACTAAATTAAATGCCGCAATTCAACATCGCTATTGAAAGCCAACAAGTTCACCCATGCCTTCCGACGATTATTTAAAACTCTTCGCCGACTTGTCTGACGTCCTTCAAGCATAGCAGGATCAACAATATCGCTCACATGTAGAACAACGGAGGCGATGAAGTGTGTCCATTTTGACTGGATCCAACTATGCCCAAAGTTTAGGTTTCACAGTTATATCTGCCGTGGCCTGTAAGATAATGAATTGCGCTCTACCTCATATTCTCAGTGGTGTATGAATCACTTAAAAGGAATATTGGCTATATTTGTGCCTTGCTCGCTAAAGCCACTTGAACAGTTTGTTGGTTGTTCAGGGGTGACCGCAGTTCATAACGTGTGCCAGTAAAGTTATGGGTTCGAATCCGGCAAGATCCGGCGGGTGCACGCTATTGACGAGTCCCAATAGAAAGAAAAGGTCGTCCAGCGCTTATCTGGATGTGTGGTAGCCATCTAACAGACACATAACGGATGATACTACCGCCCACCAATAACCAGTAATCACCTTAGCAGCTTACATACCAGTTAGATTAGTAGCGGCTTGCAAAAAAGTCGTGTCCCTGGGGGCCAACAATGACATCAGCACGTTCATAACATACATGACGGTTAGGGATGAGGTGCGCTGTCGCAGTTAGATATCAGTAATAGAAGTCTGCCGCCGTCACCCATGGCTCTGTGGCATAAGTCGCTGACTCATAAGAATACAGCATGGGGTTAGAATCTCGAGGGAACCGACGGGTGCTTAATAGTGACGATTTCAAATGGGCGAAATAGCCATTTAGAGCTTTACTGGATGTGTGGTGACCATCTGACTGATTCTAGAGGCGACAAATAGTCGTAGGAAGGGGGATGCTGAACATTCCTCTCTCACGCCACTGGTGGTACAAAAAAGGAGCGAAAGTCTGCCTACACCCGCATTCAGCCCGAGATTCGAGAGCATATGGTACGAAGAACGTTGACATACTTCTCGGGCACTCCTCTTCTCAACAAATAACTCCAAAGAACAGCTCAGTCAACTGTCAAACGCAGCTCGTGTGTCTAAGAAGACAACGATCGTTGGCCGGCCGAACATTTGCCGACCCTCGAGTATTTGGCGGAGCGCAAAGATGTGATCTATACAACCCCGGCCGGCGAGGCATCCAGCTTGCTCTTCGCATATGTTCTGTTCGCGTACCAGACTGAGCCTCCTTAGAAGAAGAGCAGGGCGCACTTTGGATGCAACGCGTATGAGACTAATCCCTCTGCGGTTAGCAGAGTCTGTCCGCGCACCCTTTTTGAAGACGGACACGATATCCGCTAGGCTCCAATCAAACAGTATTGCTTCAGTGAGCCAAACCTACTGGAGGGAATATAACTCCTGAATAAAGGATGGGTCTTTATCTTTGAAAAAAGCCGGAGCGAGTTCGCCTGGTTCAAGTGCATTGTGACGTTTTAGGAGGCGAAGCTCATGAGCAACCATAGCATCAGATGATGATGAAGCGTCTACACACCAGGCAGCACTCGCCGGTGCTGCTAGCCAGTTAAACTGCTGTTCAAAATGCTCGGCCCAACGAACAAGATGTTGGTGACAGTGAAAGTACATTACTTGTTTCGCACAAAACTTCCCTTACAGAGGAAAGGTTTCCGAAAATTCCCCGAGGTGACAGATTGTCCCATATCAATGACCGTTGCGTCCACCATGACTCGCAAACCTCCCGAAGAAGCTGTTTGAGTTCAGATTTGGTGGTCCTGCGAAGTGAATCAAACTACGCGCCGGCAGGAGTTGCTCGACGAGCTTTCAGAATCTGCAGGGATCGTGCAAAGATCCAGTGGTGAAATCAAAGTCCAGAGTCGCAGAGCTGTGCATGACACTGCGAATGTGTGCCTTGTGCGTTTCAAGGCCTGAGCATGAGGTGCTCTTGAGACTTGAAGCCAACGAATCCTGAACGGTGCTGAGAATGCCAGGGGCAAAAAGCTTAGCTACGTCAAGCCGTTTTCGGCGACGCTGCTGGGAGCCACCAAAGCGATCTTGGCACACTTGGGCTCGTGATCCGAAGTGAGGAAAGTACTCCAGGTTGATTTTCAATCCTGTATGCAGCCCTGTCAGTGGTAACTGATGGCGATGTGCTCAGTTTGTGTCCATGGTTGGTCAGGTGACCGAGGCCTACAAGTGGCGCGTTGACACCAGGATCGCCGATAGCTAGTACTAGGCAGGAAGAGACTGTGACCGGTGCAGATCTGAAGTAGGCGATCACCGTTGTCTGTTCTGCGAGCACCATGGCCATGCTGACCACCGAGTTCATGCCCTTCAACCACAAAACTGCTGGCCTGTGCGTTTAAGTCCCCTGCAAGCGGCACGATGTTTGTGTGGCGCTTTTTCGGAGAAAATCGAACATTTGACAGTAGAACTCGTCTTACACTGACTCCAGACTGCAGTCTGTGAGAGCGTACGATGCCACAACAAACAATCAACATCTGCTAGTTCTGCTGCTGGAAAGTCGCATGAAATTTTCGAGTCGGATCGCGCAGAGTCGAGAGTTGACAGGGACCCAGTCTAGTATCGCGGCCTTAACGCAATCCCATGCCGGCAAAAGCAGCGGCTTCGGTGGTTGCGTCTCTAGATAAGCGCAATGTGAAAATGGCAGAGGAACTCGCAGATGGTGAAACCAGTCCTAGTGTCGTGCTAGGGTCATGTAATCAGGTTTTAGTGAGGCAGCAGACATTAAAAGCAGTAGTCTCAAGCGTGCGAGCAAACTGCTTATGATTTGATCTGCATCAGCGTCCGAACGGTAAAGGTTGTCAGCTTGAATTGGGAACGGGGCGCTAGAAAAGGCACTCTTGGACATAAGTTCATCATCTGTATAGCAAGAACACTCCCAAAGCGGCACAGTATTGCGGATTTGGGAACGGAGCGGGATTACCACAGATAGTGGAGTTGAACGAATATGGAATGGAACGGTGGTGCAGTAGACTGCAATATAGCATGTTTGGCCACCAGTACCTCAACTGAGGGGAGTATTGGCAGAGGGTAAAGAGACAGAGAGCGTGGAGTTGTTGAAGCATTGATCCATAAGTTGTGTGGGCATGGAGCTTCCCAGTTGCTCAGGCCGAGAAAGAGAGTTGACTTAAGAGACCCCACCCAAAGCCTTGGGTAATAGAGAAGTGACCTGCAAGGCAGCGGGACGGTTTACGTTTATCGCGAGCCGTCAGGATCCGGCTACTACCATGAGGAGAACACGAGTTTCGAGTAGGAACAAACTACTCAGGACGCCCAAAGAGACCGAGTAAAGCAGCAAGGTCCGCAGAAATTTCTTAGAACGACGCACTCGCTGGCGAGCACGAAGGAAGCTACGTCGCCCACACGCCTTCGTGGAATCCGGCGGTTGATGTTGTTCATCCACACTCCGTTCGTAGCTCATAATGGTTAGACACACGCCAAACGAAACCATCGTAGCATCAACACCTTATTCATGAGATCATTTCTTCAATAAGGTCTTATTTTCGTTGAAATCAACATACTTCCCATGAACCCGCAGGTGAATGACAGCCAGCTGGATGAGTAGTATCGATGGATTTCGTTTACAATAAGACCGAATCTAGCTGCATTGTGGATGTGTCAACTGCCAGCGCTTTCACCGATAACCGATAGTTTGAATAAAACTGAAAGCAAGATTTGATTTCTATAACAAAAATATAACCCGGCTGCCGTTTACTTCAAACTTATCGGCATTTTCACGGCACCTTGTAGTAGAGCCCGTGGACTTACATTCACCGCTAAGGCAATTGCATGGATTATTGTGGGCTTCAGAACTCGTAGCGGTTAATCCCTTCATAAAAGAAAGTCCACACTGCGGCTTTTTTATTTCGAAGATGAATCCTTATTAGATGCTTCCTGCCAGCTGATAACAGTTGTTTTGAGAAACCCACCAAAAGTAATTGAATAGTTAAGCGGATGCGCTTATTCGCACGATACCATAGTTACATTGGCGTGTGATGAAAGGGCAGGCGAGGCATATAAAAGTCGAAGGGCACATAAGGAGGCAACCTCAGAGAGAGAAACATCGATAGTCAACATCAAGATCGAGTCATAGATCCACATTGGAGTGCCATACGTAAAAGTGCCACCGAATTCATCCATATACACAGAAATCATAAAGGCCAAAGAAAGTGAGATTTCAAGATTAATGGTTGATAAACTGCGTAAAATGAAACTGAGCAAACTGTGTGAAAATCGAACACGTGAATAGAAGACTCAGTTATTAGTTGAGAAACATGGATGTCATAAATATCGAATAACACGAACAGCGCAAAAGAACCTGAACAAACCTGTTCGTAATGAAGGAAGGCGCATAAGGGAAACTTTTTGCATATACCTCGTATTAGTTGTAGGCTGTCTGGAGATGACATATATACAAGGACACATTCTGCCAAGAACAATGTGGGCATGAACGAATCCAGGCCACCTCCAGGCAACGGTCCACATATGAAAGAGGTAAATTGATCCGCTGGCTGTCGCAAGTCGAAGTCGAACAGCGAATAGATGTTGGTGAACAAGCGTGATTGAGTGTGGTCAATATTCTGTTTTGTTATGCCAGGTTGTGGGATGCAGGAAGCGGGGGAGGAGGAATCTTGAAGTAGTTCGACGTCCGCTGTAGAAGCGAAAACAAAAGCAAGAGTGGATATAAGCGGATTCTGAAAATGCAGTAGGGGAAATATAAAGCATTTGGCTCAAAGGCATGTTCAAAGTAGATAAAACATGAATGAAAGGTGCAAATCTCTAAGTGGGCACAAAGTATCATCGTACTGAGAGTTCATGGGAAGCAATAAAGATGACTAAAATAGCTGAACATTTATTCTGGCTGATGAGAGACACGTACGAGTAAAGAAAAAGTGAATACAGCGGATCCATGGAGCAAGCGATCATGCAGTAAAGGAAAACCAGTCTCAAAGAGTGATTAACCAAACAGGATAAGACAACTTGTTGCGCACTGGGTAGGTCTAGTTGACCGCATGTTCACAAACGCTTTATGGACGTACTCTATCTCGGTTCTCGCTTCACCCGCGGTTACCATCCCAATTATCTCCACACATTATTGTGCGTGCGCTCTTTCGAACCAGTTCGACGAGCGCTACTCGGTGCTTCCCACTTCTTCGATCCAACTTGTGTCGATAATACTGTTGCACCAGTGCGCAGTCTTGGCGCATTCTTTGCCAAGAACTGCGCGTGCAATTACAACACTCGTGAACTGTTCGGGAACAAGAAGCTGAGGACTCTCTCTCAGGTTGCAGCATAACAAAGTTACGGGACATTTTGTGTCGCTCATCGAGTAAACATCGCGTCCGGGAAATTTAAAGCCGCTTGTCAGCGCCACGCTTGCATCGTCGCGTAATGCGGGCCGATCAATACACGCCGCCTTTTCGTGTGGGTGTGTGCACACAACCGCGAGACGACCGATCGCTGAATCCAGCAATATACACGCGGCTGTGAGAGTGACACAACTGCTTGTTTTGGCAAAATGACTTTGGCATCGGAACAATCAATCTAGGGGACAGGGCTGGACTAACCGTCAACAAAAAGTTCACATGGCTTAATAAGGGCGAGTAGCCGACCCGCAGTGCCTAAACGTGCATAGGGAACGTGCAATAAGTTAAGCAAAAATAAGACCTTCATGGTCGAACTGCTCTACCTATTTCCATGCCAAACGAGGGAATATCAAGCCAAGCGAGTTTAGGCTGCTCAGCAACAGGTCAAACTCATTTTAGTTCTGTGCGAAGTGTAATAGCACCTTATTAGTTAAGATAGCAATTGCACTGTCTCAGAAGTAAGACAGGTTGGCGGAATTGGTCGGGCAAATATTGAGCATCAAAAAAGCTACATTAGAAACAAGGACAGCAGACTGAATGACACAAGCGTCCCCACCGAATTCCCCCGCAAGCCAAATCCACAAGGCCAGGTGTTACACCAAAAAAATGACAATGCCACTAATCCAAATCTGCCAAGCGTTCACAAACCCTTCACCACTAGCCTATTAGCAACAATTGCTCGCAAACCCATTACCTTCCACCAGGTTTCGCGGAAACTCTGGAAAAAAGCCACTGTCAGTGACAGTTGATCCGTAGTTGCATCCAAGAGCACCAAAAAATAAGCAGCTGTAGTTTTGATTACCACACCCAAGACTAATGTGTAGTGCGAGACAAATAGCCAGATCTCCCAACCACGACCCATACTCCTCTGAAACAATTGGATGCACTATCCATTATATGCATCAACGTTTCAGTCAGTATTGAATACCTTAAAAGGAAAGCAGATGGACGGCCTAGCCAACGGAACATCATAAGCAACCAACTCAGTATTTCGACTAAGTCCACTAACCTGATAAGGATCACCCGCCACCAGAATTCTAAGCAATATGAAGAAACCAGACTTCCTTGGATTGTGCTTAACTCTGTCGAGATGGAAGAAGTCTTGCTTTTAACAGCTTGTCTCCAGAACGGATCCTGTTTAATCCGTGACTTTCTAGACGTTCCATAGGGCGAGCAAAGCAGAGGTTAGAGTAGTTCGGTCCAGGCAAGGTAGATAGGGCCATCTTTGTCCATAGCGTCCCCAGCATCATAAGCAGGATGAATGCGAAGCGGAGGCACACGACCAGAAGCAAAAGCGCTATATTCGAAACGTAGCTGCTACTCTCTCAAATGTGTCAATGTCAGCAAGTTACAAAGGGTGCGGCTCAGGGGTAATAAAGGTTATGCTTCAAATTAGGCAGATGGGATCCAGGACACTGGAATGATGACAGTCACTTCGAAACAAGCTGCCAACTGATCGTCGATTCAAAGTGGCAAGCGGAACCTCCGATCGACCTAAAGCGCCACCACAACAGACAAGCGAAGAGGGGAAATCACTCGAACTTACACATGAAGCAGGTCAGAAATAAAAGGGTTTTCCTACGTAATGTTGTAACCACTCTCCATGCGCCTGAGCATCCGGACATAGTGGGACTCGTAGAGACATGGCTACATTCAGAGGTATACACCCAGGAACTTTAACTCAGGTTACTCGTGCTTCCGATGCGATAGAGTAACGAATGACCGCGGTGGTGTCTTGCTCTACATCCGGTCTTCCCTGCGTAGGAGACTTGTGAGTACCTACTGAAGTGGCGATGTCCTGTGTGATCTACTGTAGTGCTCCAGCCACCTCAGGGGCGGAGAACTATTTGCAGGTGCAGTCTATCGCAGCCCCTGAGTAGCTTTTTTGATCCGCTGCCACCTCTTCGAACCCATACGAGTCGTCCACACTTTCTACCTATGGGGGATTTTAACTGTTCTCGAATACCCTTGCCTGATGTGGGATTGGTTGATGCCTATAAATCACGCGAAATGTTATGTCCTCCGCATTGGAGGTGCTAATCCTCCAACGCACTATGTAGTTAGTGGAAGTGAAATTCCTGTTGTCACTCAGAAGCTCGATCTAGGTATCACACACTTCATTGCTACACTCTGGGGGCAATTTGAGGAAGACTACTTGTAGTGTTCCGTATGATGTGGTTTATCCGCCGCTCCTTCGGTGTCCTAACGGCCAATATCTTTGTGAATCTGTTCTCAGCTTTTGTGCGACCCCTTTTAGAATACTGTATCCAGGCTTGTTCACCTTGTCTTGTAAGGGACAAAATGGAACTGGAGAGGGTTTTGCGAGTGAGTACAAGGTTAGTGCAAGAATTACGGGAGCAAACGTATCCGAACGTTTGCTTAGGTTGGTTATGTACCCAATGCATTACCGCAAAATCACAGGAGATTTGATCCTCACTTACCGTATCCTAACGGGTAAAGTCGGTCCAGACTTGTCCTGGCTATTTAGTCCCGCCAAGCTGCCAAGTCTCTGAGGTCACCCGTTGAAGCTGCACAAACTGCGTTCTGACCGGGTAAGGGCGGAAACTCGCTAGGCGCGCCGGTTTATTAAAGGTCGGTACGCGCTTCCGTAGCACATCGTTATGGAATCTAAGGTAGAGGGTTTCGAGCGTCAGTTAGATGCTCTTAGGTGGCAGTACCAAACCTTTCCCTTCTAACCGACTTGCATCTCCAACTTGCCCTTCTTTTTTTAAATTTCTTCGCACACCTTGGTATTATCATTAATTAGCTGGCGCTCCTCCTTCTGATTTTTTATCTTACCCTCTCTCTCCTAATTCCTATAAATCTGCCTGGCAGAGACTGCTGGGTCGGAAAATGTGGGCAGTAATTGGTTAGGCAGTGTGCGCTGCGATCTTTGTTTTAGGCTTTTTAACATCTCAAGCAGCCATATCAATTCACGGTCCAACGATAGACAAAAGAAGGAACATTCACGGGATTATCCTATCGTTCCCATCCCAACTTAACTTGAACTTGACTTTAATTGGAGGTGGTCTAATTGGTTAGCAAGCGCCGTATTGGACGACAGTGTTGTTTGTTGCCGTATGGTCTGCGACCTCTATAAAAGCTGGGAGGAAGTTGAAGAAGTAGTTCACAACTTCCAATTTGCGACTGCCTCCAGTTTCTACAAATACGGTACGTTAACTGCGAAGCGGCGTGAGAAGCAAGGTGGGGAGAAGGTTGCTGAAGGCTTTCGGTACAGGTACATGCAATTTCGGTGCGTACATTCGAGACGTGATGGAACAATTGGAAAACGGTAGGTGATATATGGAAAAGTTATTTGTTTATTTAACAGATTTCGTGATTGCGGCTGTGGTGCGCGGTTTTTATTCATTTTGGGCAGGCAAATACATGTACAGTGCAAATTCACCTTAACGCACACCCCCAGTTTTAAATTGGTCATCCATCGCTATATCCCGGCAACAGATGTCTGACTGCGGATCAAGAGTCTGAGGTGTGCGCTTGGATGGACACATTTTAGGAAAGCCGTGAAATGCGGACGCGTGCTTGGAAGACTTATGGACGACGGATGACAAAGGCTAACTTGTGGTACAGGAGGCGCCGACACATGCGGAAAACAAGTGAAGAGGTGTTGGACGTTGTTCTTATGTTGGAACGGCATGGCAAATGCCGGAAGGACAGGAATGGTGATCAAATACGGTCGGCTTTTTGGGTACTCATACGATGGCTTGGTACAGCAATACTGCTAGGTGTTGTTGGTGGACGCGACGCCCCAGATCAACTACGGATGGCACATTTTGTGGCATTGCATGCTGGTGGACGTTACTAGCGTAGCGATGTCCTTTTTCTATGCTTTGCTGCCAAATGAGACATCAGACAATTACATGGAAGCGGTGGAAGCGATGCTGAGCATATTTCCGGAGACTTCTCGGGCACGCACGATAGTGATGGACAAATGTGCGGTTCAAGTGGGTGCGTTTCAGTCGTTGTACCCACATGCACACTTAGTATTGTGCCGATTTCATGCAGTTCGAGACATAGCTAGACGTTGCTCACACCTGCACGATGTGTCACTTGTCCAGCAGAAAGAATTGCCTAGGAAATCCACTATTTTAGCGATTAATCGATTAGTAATGATTAACGCATTGATTTCGAACGTTCTGCACGTGGCTAAAAACCACCTGACAACGCAGTAAAATATATGGGAACCACTAGCCTTGGTAGCTGACCATATAGTTCTGGAAGTCGAAGGTCAGTAAGAGACCCATAAATACAGCCAAGGTCCGCG